ATGAAGTATGCAAAAGAGTTAAAAATGAAATGGTAAAATGCATTTATTATGCATTTCAATTATAATTATTACAATATACAGAAATACATAATGAAAATAATATAATGAATTTCATAATTGCTTTTTTGTCAAATTTCATTTTCTTATTTTCTATAAAAATATTGTATATTATTAGTTTACATAATCTAGCACTCAGAAACAATATGTAAAATATTTTTCAAAGTATTATACATATTGACATTTGTCAAAAAGGTGTTTTTGACATAACTAAAACTTCATAATTATATATATCAGTATTCAATTCTAAGTTAAAATAGGATCAACTATGGTGCCAAAATGTTAAAAACATTTTTGTTGGTAATGTTAAAAATATTTTTTGTTCAGTGAGTAATAAAGAGAGTTCTAAAGTTTCTTGAAGACTTTATAAGATTGTGACGGGATTGTTTCTCTTGGATAACATGATAACATAAACAGTTACGTATATAAATGTTTGTAAAATATTGAAATAATTTGCTGGTAACTATGGTTTTTTATGTATAATATTTTTAGGTGCTGTAATCATATTTTGAGTTATTAGAAAATTTGACTTGCTAATAGTTAGTGCATGGCACCATAATTTACATTTTTTTAAAATAAATTTTATTATATTAAACATAAAAATAGCATTGAAATAATGTTATTATTCTGAACATAAAAATAAGATTTTTATTTGTTTTTGAATTTTCTTAAATGACTTCAAATTGAACTGAATGAAAGTTTATCTATTTGCTATTTTATATTGGTTTATGACATAAATGGCAGATAATTGCAGTTCTTGTAATCTGGACACTAAATCTACATTTGATTTGATCTTGCATTGAATAGATTTAGCATTTTATAGCACTGCAGTTTCACTACAGCACTGCAGTTTCACTAGATATAGATTGATTTAGTGAAACTGCAGTGCTGATATATGTGATATTGAGATACATCATTGTCATTGAACATTTACACTTCTTTGACTTGATTAGAAGTAAAGTGATGAACTTTTTCAATGAAAGTTATTTTTGCAGACTTTGTATGCACATAGTTTATCTTGTTTTAAACACTTAGCTCAGTCAACTTGAATTACCACAATTTGAGAAATGTTATTCATTAAAATACTTTTTTTAAAATTATTCACTAACTAAATTTTTTATCATTTCAAATCTAACATTTATTAAATTTGCTTGAAACATTTTTTTTTAGTATTTAAGACAAGTTGAATAGTATTATGCAAACTGAAGAAAATTTACACAACATGAAAAATCAAAAAAAAAATCCAATTCATGATATACAGATAATTTTTCTTGAATATTTTAAATGTATCTATTTCAGAGTAGACTACAAATGATTATTTTGAAGATTTGTTGTTTTTCCATCAAGCAAGTGAAACCAAGCAAAATCTTTAAATATTTTTTTAATGTAGCAATAGAGATTTTTTCTTACTTTTAATTTTGAGAATATTCCATTTCATAAAATGTTTTTTGAGAAAATATCAAGAATTTTAAAATACTTCACAAATATTCATTAAAAAATTTAATAAAATTAAAAACATTCACACTTCACAATTTTAAAATGCAAAGAAAACTCAGTTGATCAAAAACCATTACTAAATTTAATTTTTCATGAATATTTGACGTGCATTTTTTAAAAATACTTGTTGTTTCTTTGTCTGGGTTCAGTTACAGCTACAGTTTTTAAACTTTAGTTATAAGTTAATGCAGTTTAGACATTTTTCTTTGCTGAGTAGTAAATTTCTTTTTTATTAAAAGATTTCTGAAAAACTTTGTAAATTAGTTTCAAATTTTTTAATTTTTGGACTTAAAACTTACAAAACTTAAAAAAAGTGTAAAATGTGACAAAAATGTTTTTCAAAATCTAAAAGTTTTTATTTCATAAATTATTGATTTTTTTTTTGACAACTTGACCACAATTGTTTATATGTTTTGATGATTTAAACATTTCAGAGATGCGCTGAAAATAGAAACGCTAAGCTTAACTTTAAACTTGGAAAAAAATAATAATAACAATAAAGAAAAAACAATTCCTTTCAAATAAGAAAATACATAAGCACAAAAAAAAATAAATAAAAACTTAAACTTGAAGCAAAACTATTTGTTACATTTTTAATTGCGTTTAAAATAAATGTTATTAACACTTATCTTTTTAAATGTTATTAAATTTACTCAAAATGCTTTTAAATTAAGTAACAAATTAATACAAATTGTTTTGTTTATTAAATGAACAAATTCTATCCAATTTATTAAAAAGTGTTTTATATAATATTTTATATTGTATTAACATTTGTTTTTTTCAAAAAAGCTCTCCTAAAGCGAATGTAGCAAGCTATGCGAGTTGCTTCTTTAAATAGCTTTTTTACAAAAGCTTTTGGTTTTTGCGCGAGAGCTCTGTTTATTAAAATTATTAAAATTTGGTTCTATACTTGTTTTATATGTATGCATATGTTTGAAATGTTAATGTTACAAGAATATAATATATAACAATTGTCATATATTGCGCTGTGAAAAAAAATCTTTAGACAAGTGTTGTCTTAGGGTTTTCACATTAGCAAACCTTTTATTTATGAACAACATGAGGGAAAACTTTTGATCTTTTTTCGTTTTGTTTATTGTGAAATTTTGTGTTACATAATTTATGGACAATCCCTAAAAGTGAATAATATATTTAAGTAATTAATATATAAAATATACAATTCATTGCATAAAATAAGAATTATGCAATAATTTAGAATGTAATAATTATATATTTATCAGTTATCAATCAAAACCATTTGCATTTAAATCTGAGCTCTTTTTTAATTTTGTTGTTGTTGTTGTTGTTGTTGTTGTTGTTGTTGTTGTTGTTGTTGTTGTTGTTGTTGTTGCATTAACCGTGCTTTTTAAAAAGCATTGCAGTTTATTATGCTATTAATTTTTATAAAAATGACTTAGAGTTTTTCATTTTAGTTACAATATTAATTATACTTATGAGAGAAAAAAATTATACTTTTGCAAGAGCCATAAATTGCTCCCATAAACTGTTTTAGGGGACTATATATATATATATATATCATCATCATCATCATCATCATCATCATCATCACAAAGGGTTAGACTAGTCTAATCCTTTGTGATGATGAAACCTAATACTCTCAAAAAAAAAAAAAAAATCTTCAAAAGTATGTTGGGTCTCAAAAAATAAAAGCATATTGGGTCTCAAAAGAAGCGAAATTGTATAAAAATTGTATAAAAAATAATACTCATATTTTGTAAAAACATCTTCAAAAAAAGTTATTGAAAGTTTGAAATTTTTTTTTTTTAATTTTAAAAAAGGCATACTTTTTATGCACTAAAGTATAATGTAATAATCTGTAAATAAAAATGACTATTATTTTTTAAGTTTTTATATAATTTAATTTCTTTTGTGAACAACATACAAGTAATTAACATACAACATACAAGTAATTAAAACACAACATACAAGTAATTAAAAACATGACATTTTGTGAACAACATACACAACATACAAGTAATTAAAAACTTGACATTTTGTGAACAACATACACAACATACAAGTAATTAAAAACATGACATTTTGTGAAAAACATACACAACATACAAGTAATTAAAAACATGACATTTTGTGAACAATATACACAACATACTTTGGAAGTAATTAAAAACATGATATTTTGAGTACTAAGACTAAGACATACTTTTGGAGAATTTTGTTATTATTGAAAGTATTAGGGACTAGTCCATTCCTTTTTGATCAAAGAGCAAGATGTAGATATTGTTTGATTCCGATTTTTTTAAAAATATCTAATTATAAGTTTTTGATTTTTAGCGAGTATTGATATCTTGTTGTGATATCAGCATGTTTAAAAGGCTTCTTCGGGTATTTAAAAGAAAGTCACCTGAAAAAGAACTAATTGATAAAAAAAAGCAAGAAGTAAAAGAGTGGCTGATAAATTCTGGCTTTAAATGGGATGAATTTGAAAATATTTTGTTTTGGAAAGCACCTACAGTCTCTTTAGCAATATATCTAGTATTTACAGGGTTGTTTTGGTAATACTTTTTTTTTATATTAACATTTTTCAAACTTTATTATTAAGATTTTTGTTGTATATTGTTTTTTGTTTATATTTATCAATATTACATAAAGATTTAATTCAAAATTATGATAATTTAAACTCATAATCTTGTTTTATAAAATATTATTAAAAAATACATTATCTAATTATAATTTTGAGTAACTTTTAAGTTAAATACTTTTCTACACCATAGCTTTGTTTCATATTATTTGCAGTTTTGTTCTATGGCAGTGGTTATTAACCTTTTTGTAGTCAAATAACACTTTCAAAATTGTGCTTGTCCTAAACTACACCAAAAATCCTTTCCATGAATATTAGCTCTCAGTACTCCTTTGGATCTTATGTCATCTTTAATAAGGCCTTCATCATTGATATCATTTATAAATGGGCTATGTACCCAAGTCTCTTGATTAAAGCTTTCAGCACAAAAAAGTACTCTTCAGAGTTCTGTGGTGTATCAAGGTGTTCTTAGACTTTCTTTTGTACTTCTCCATTTAAACTTCTAGCCGCTTGCACTTTACTCAGTCTTCTCTGTTTAGCCAGCTCTTTCGCGCTCAAGTCTTTTCACGCTTGCCCACATGTCTGCAAAAACTTTGGTGAGTGCATAAAAAGTGCTTGCCAAAAAAATATACAAAAAATATATTTGTTGATTTGTTCAACTTTTATGAAAAATGCTCTCTTTTACTATTTTTTTTTTTAAATTATTTTATCTAGTATTTATTAGAAACATTCTTTTCGCTATTTTTATTTTAAATTAAACAGCAACAGGAATTTTTTAAATCGCGCAGGCCAACTTAAAAAAGACCATCCTGTCAGCGCTTTTTCGTGCGCTGGCATTAAATTTCAAATGGAGAAGACTGTTTACTGTGTAATAGCAGTTCTTTTTTCTTCCAGCATACAATTTGCGAGTAAAATTCATTTCATTCACAAGCAAACTCGCAATAAGGCCTACACCCACTCTCATTTTCCAAAATGGGAGCTTACTAAGAAAAGCTTTTAAATTATCAGTTGCATCAACAATAATGACAGCATTACCCTGAATAGAAAGGTTAATATTGTTCAAATAATTTAAAATATCAGTTAAGGAAAAATTTCCTTGCAAAATGCTTTTAGTCTCCAGAATTTGAATGTTTCAGAAATATCAAGATTTTTATGCATAACTTGAATAAGCACCTTGAAATTTGTCTTCCTGATAAACAGCAAACTTCTGTATAATACAGCAGTATTTACAACAAAATTTAGTATTTACAAACTTCTGTATAATACAGCAGTATTTATAACAGTATAAAGTGAGTTGCAAAACAGAAACTCTTTCATACTTTGTGTTTCTAGATGTACATAGCATACAAACAGCAAGAGCTGGCTACACTGTAATGCATCTGTAATCTTATCCAGTTGCATGCTGAATGAAAACGGCAAAGAATTCAGTTCATTAATGACCTGCTTCAAAACATTGAAGGCATTTCAAAAATTCATGAATGAAATCATTTGACAAAGGCACTGCTTTAACTTTCTTTCTTTGATCTGTACTACATATGAGTTCTACTATGTCTAGTAAGCAAGACTTAAGAATTTTTGCAATAGTGTGTGCCTTTTTTTGTTGGACAATTCAATATGCAATTTTATATGACATTTCTAAATATAATTTTAAAACCTAGTTTAGGTATAATGCCATTCTCAAAGCTTTTTTGTCACAAAAATATTAGATTTAAAATTTACTTTATCAGATAAAAAAGACTGTTGCTTTTGTGTTTCATCTTATTTAGTAACAAATATGAAACCGTAGGTGACAGGAATTCTTATAATTTCTTTTTTGAACTTTTTTAACAAACCGTTACAAAGAATAAAAGTATTTTTTACAAAAATACACTTGAATTAATAAAGATCTAAACATTGTCTTTGTTTGATATCTTACTTCACATATCTTGCGATCAACTATTGTTTGAATTTTCCTATCCAACAAATCAAAATTTTACTCCATAATTTTTTTTTTAAATCTGTGCCTACTACATGGACTCCCATAGCATATGGTATAGACTCCTGAAGGGTCCACAGACCACAGGTGAAGAAACTCTGATCTAAATGAAAAAATTTCATAATTAAACTATTTCTCTATATTATTTTTATTAAAAATAATTCTTTAACTGAAATTTAAGGTTACATCTCTTTCAATTTTTTTAAATCACATTAAATTGTGAAAATCTTCTGTATTTTTTGTCTTTTTTTATGTTATTATACTTATAATATTTGTATTTTCTATTGTTTAAGTATTTACTTAATACTTAATAATTAAGCCCTTGGAATTATAAAAAATTAGGTCGGCAATAAATTGTTAACCTCTAAAAAATTCAACACAAAGGTCTTACTATAAAAACATAGAAACAAGTTTGATTATTTATGCTGACCTAAACACTTTTAGCTCAGCAGTTAGGTCAGCGTTGTTGAATGCCGACCCTTATTCCTATTATTTAAAATGTTTCCTTGAAACAACTTTCTTATTTTTATTCTGCTAATTGTACTTTTTGTTTATTAAGGAAATTTATCAGCTACAGACTGCAGAAGATATCTTTACTTCTAATTATTTTATCATCTCCTTGTCTTATTGATGATGTGCGAATTATTATTTGGAATAATCTAGAGCAAAGTAAGTTTATCAAATATTATTAGTGTTGTGAAAGAAAAAATCAAAAATAACTCAACTAAAAAAAACTCAAACTAAAATTAGTTAACTAACTTTTTAGCACAACTAAAGTTAGTCAACCAACTTTTTAGCATAATTAAAATTAGTCATATCTTTTTAGCATAGTTTAGCATAAATTAGTAGTCTAACTTTTCAGTTTAAAAAAGTATGATGCTGTTGTAAATTATAGTTTTCATAAATCAAGTTATGCAATAGTTGTACAATGGTTTGATTACAAGGCTTTCCCTAACAGTGCAACAGTTTGACCATCATGTTTTTTAACAGTGTAACAGTTTGATCACTATACAAACAGCACAGTGGTTTTAAGGTTTTTGCTTTGAAGTTAAAGAGTTATGACAGTTTGAGTTGAAATTTAGAAAAAATAAAAAAAAATGTATCCAATTAGTCCCTGTCTCCACTGATTATAAAGTACTTTTTTTAAATTTCATCGGAAAGCAGTTCATTGTTAGAAGTTAGAACACTTACCTAATTTCTTTTATTTTATTTTAAAAAAACACTTACCTAATTTCTTTTTTTTATTTTAAAAACACACTACCAAAAAAACAACTGATTTAATAACGTTTTTATTTTATATTTTTATTTGTGAATCAATTTTATTTAACATATTTTGCCTATAGTAAATGTTTGCAAAACTTTTATATTATATATAAAATGTATACTATAAAATATTTTTTTAACAATTAGTATTTAAATATATATATATATATATATATATATATATATATATATATATATATATATATATATATACTTTATAATCATAATTTTTAATATATTTGATTGATTATTATTGTTTATTTTTTGGGCAAGTGAGGTTTTTTAAGTGAAGCAACTTAGAAGAAGAAAAACTATTTTTGTGAGGAACTTGCAAGGAGATTAGACTTGGAAGTCTAATCCCCTTGGAAGTCTAATCCCCTTGGAAGTCTAATCCTCATAAGCATTTCAAATCATGTCTCTTATCAACTTTGAGAGACATGTGCAAACTTTTTCAGAGTTGCACGCTGTATAAGACCATTTTTTTGACACTTTATCCACGTTTTTTTTGCATATTTTGGAAATTTGTGCATTTAAAAAATGCGTTGAAAAAACAAAACTAATTAACGAATGATAAAATAAATAAAGGATAAACCAGAGAAAATAAAAGCATAAAAATTATTTCAGTTTATAGTTTATTCTAATTTTAGTTGAAGTTTACATTTGTTTATTCAACACATTTTTTATATGCTCTAATTTTCAAAACTTGAAAAGAGCTATGGTCAAGTTTTCAAAACAATATATTACATGCATGGTGTCCTGAGAAGACTTGCATATATATTATGTTTCTAAATATATTTTAACATAAGATACCTAGAACACATAGTAATTCAAAATAGAGAAACAAGTTGTACGCAAGACTTCCAGAGATAAGGTGCATTACACCACTACCGCATGTTTATAGATTGTTATAAAGTAAACCCCATGTTTATAGACATGTTGTATGTTTATAGACTGTTAATCCCATATTTATAGACATGTTTTATGTTTATAGACTGTTAATAGAAATCAAATTGTTTAAAGAGTTTAGACTTTTTTGACTTAAAATTAAAAATTTTAAAATATTTTTAATTTAGGAGGAGCAGCAGTCATCAAAGAACGACGTAGGTAATCATTTATCTACCATTTTTCAATCTTAATTATAAAACTGTTCTTGAGTATGTTCTAAGTACTTTCGTGAATATTTTTTAGTTTCTTGTATTTGTAAATATTGTTTTTTTTTTTTTTTTTTTTTTTTTTTTTTTTTTTTTTTTTTTTTTGTTATTCACCTCCTCAAGGCCAAGAAGGCCACTACAAACGAGGAGGCTACTTAATAGTAGTTATAACCCTCTCTCAACTCTATAACTCCGAAACACGAACCTTGACGAACAAGGCCGCTGCGGGGAGAAACAAGTTGAGCACGGTACTACCAGGGACATGGTGGGGATCAAACTCTGAACCTCTCGCTTATGAAGCGAATGTTTTGCCACTACACCACTACCGCATAGTTTACTTTGAATGAGTTCTTAGTACTCCTTAAGTGTGTACATAGTGTTCTTTAAGAGTGTACTTTGTCTTCTTTGAGTGTGTACTTAGTGTTCCTTGAGTGTTTCTTGAGTTAGTCATAAAATTATTTAAATGTTCACAGAGTAGGGTTTGAATTTGATGATATGTGCAATTCAATAGCGCAAATTTGGATTTCTGCAGAAAATTCAATGCTTTATTTGTTGCAGCTTAAAGAGCAAGAATTAACAAAGGTAATTCCTTTTTCATTTCCTTAATTATTAACAAATTTATTCCCTCTCCTCCTTTAGATCTATATATATAAATTATATTTTAAACAGGGATTATCTTTTTCCGGATATTTCCTAAATTCCAGATATTTTTGCATTTTTATTTTTTCCGTATATCCAAATAGTTTTCTGGAAATACAAGTTAAAAATATTTTTTTTGTTATCAAATACTTAAAACAGTAAAGGTATCGTTCATCAATTACTTTATGCTATATTTTGCTTAGGTAAGGCATTATTTTTACAAATATTTTTTTTCTTTTTTGTTCACGTAAATTTATTAATAAAGGGATTTCCAAGCGCCGAGACAAATCAGTGTAATTGCTCGTTTATGTGAATAAAAATTTGAGCAAAATTGCTAAAAATTTGCGTAAAGCTGAGCAATTACTCAAAAAATGCTGAGTAAAAGCTATTGTTTTTTATTCACACAGCCTATTAAAAAATGTATGTATTATAAGTTTTGTGTTATTTAAAATTACTAAATTTATTTATTGAGATAATAATAAAAAAGCATTGTTTTGCCATATATTTCTGCAGTATTTATGTAGTATTTTTGCATTATTTTTTTTTTCAATTAACAAAATTTTTTTTAATTAACAAAAAGCATTTTTATTCCTAATAAATAAATTTGATAAAAAAAATAAGATATTCCGGATATTAAAATGAAAAAATTTTCTGGATATTTTAAGTATGACCAGGATAATCTATGGTTAATTTATTATCATTTAGTTTTTAAGATATAAAAATTTTTAAAGGTATATAATGTGATGATTCTTCCTTCCACATAACAGTTTCATTAACTCAAAATAATCATAATATAATAATAAATAATAAATAATAATAAATTTTAAAGTTGTTTTAGATACAGAGATTACATCTTAGAAAACATCAAGCATTTTAAAAATTGACAATCTTTTGAATAAAAATTATGGTCATGATAAAAATGTGTGATAAGAAATGATAAAAATAAATATTTCATAATAAAAAGTAAGTGTTTCATGATAAATGATTTTTAAAATAGATTTTAGTATAAAAACTAAATTTTTTTAAGATTAAACTGTTTTAAAATACATAGTTTTATTTTATATTTAGTTTTATTCAAAATAAGTAATTATCTGTAAGTCTATGAAAGTTATAAGATTTTTGATAAAATACAAAGCGGTATTTTGCATAAAATTTTGCATAAAAAGTTTTTTAATGTTATCAAAAATTTCAAATCATAACTTATTAAAGTTGTATTTCTTAAACCAATTTTACCAATTTTTGATTTAAATTTACAGTTTAGTCAGAATCTGAATTAATCTCAATTTCATCTAATTTCAAATATGTTTCTAATTGAGTCCAGGTCCAATTTTGTTTTTTTATGCAATTTTAATAGAGATTTTCCTTGGGTGTTTGACAGTTTATCCATTTTAAGCTGAAGTTTCAGACGAACCTGGTGTTGATAAATGCTAGTTATCAGCTTTTGACAGGTCTGTATTTTTTTATTTTTCTTTTGATTTTGACGATGGTTGTGGTCAAGCTGGTATGAGTCTGGTTGTGCAGATTTAGGTTTTGGATTCTTGATTCTTATTGGTAGTGATGTTAGAGGAATGCTTTTTCAACAATGTTTTTAAGTTTTAAGGTCATTTAAGGGTGTATAATGTCATAATTGACTTTGATCAAGGTTAATTTTGCTAAATTGGCAGAAAGATGAGTCTATTATCAATTCAACTAATTAAATTTAAAATTTCATTGTATTAAAATGATACTAAAAAAATCACACAAAAAATGATCTTACTGGTTAAACAGGTTACTCTTAGAAACAAAGAAAAATGCAGTCTTAACATTTCTGATAAATTGTGCTTTTGACACTACTTGTTTATAAAGTTATAAAAAACTGTTCAATATTGATATTTGAGTTTAACAGATACCTCTACTTCCAGCACGAAGACATGAAAGACATTGTTGACTGCTGAAGCATTTACTTGATCAGTGAAACAAATTTCATTATGTTAAAATAAGTATTGAAGATATTTGCAATAGCTTGTTTTAAATAAGTTTAGTTGTGTAAATAAGTAGTGTTCTTTAGGATGAATCCAGGTCTGAATATCTGAAGATTAATAGCACTAAGAAATGCCAGGCTTGTGCATCATGCCAAAGAAAACTTTCTAAACATGTATCTCTCTCTAGACTAGACTAGTTCTTATCGTGATCATTTTTTACAGGTGTGATTCTGTGCAGTAATTTTTAGTCATAGATGATGAAATTACTTTTGTTTTCCAGGTGATAAAATACTTGAAAATTTTGGATTCTAAACAAATAACAAAGGAACATACCAAATTAGTGTTCTCTTTGTAGGAAAAGGAGAAAAAATTATTAAGGATAGTTGTATCTAATTGTAGTTTTAAGTCTGAGTTTTGTTTTGCCTCAAGCACAACTAATTAAGAACTTTTAGGGATAAAAAAGCTCAGAAAGTTTAAAAGAAAAATTAGCTTCAATAGATTGATTGCATCAAATTAAAACTAAAAGAAATTGGTTTTAATTTTTTAGAGTTGCTTATGAAAGGTGTCAACGCAAAATCGAAATCTGTTACAGATAATACAGTTTTTTGATTAAGATATAACTGATATTTGTTCCAAAATAAATACCTTTTTTTAGAAAAAAATTCCAATTGTTTTTTTATTTATTTGTAAATAAAATATCAAAGTTTTGTTTTTGTCTGATAACTTATGCATCTCATATAATCAGTAATTTTTTTCAGAAAAAAAAACAAAAAGGAAATTTTTGTTTTTGTTTTATTAAAAGTCTTTCTATCTAGATTTCACTTGCCCAAACTCAAATCCTCACCTCAACAAAAATCCAAACCTCCTCAACAAAAATCCAAACCTCCCTAACAGAAATATTCACCTAATCTATATATTTAGACCTCAATAGATGGCTATTTATCACTGAAATTTCATCTGAGGCTAAGTATACAAAGATATTAGTAAAAATACATGTATGTATTATAATAACAAATGCAAATTTAGTATTTAGTGTTGTATGGTTCATTTTAATTAAGCAATAATATTTTTTTTATAGTTTTGCTTGCATATTGGGTGCTACATCTCTGTTTTAGTGATATTCTTTGCTTACATTCCTGTTGCAGAGATAATGTTTGGATTCGGTAAATATTTTTTTGAATTTTATTTTCATATATTCCTGATGTTTGCAAACTTAAAATTTTCTGTTAAAATAAAAATTTCATTTTGTTGTACTCATCATACTGTATGGTTGTTGAATTTTCATTTTATTTATTGTAAAATTTTTATTATCAACATTTATTGATTAAAATAAAGCATGGCTTTACTTTCCTAAAATAAAGCCTGATTTTAATTTTGTTAAAGTAAATCTTAGCTTTATTTTCTTCTAGATTACAGTTTTAAGAATGCCATTAAAGTTAACTTTAATACCTACATGTGTTCCATATAACAAAAAAAAAAAAAAAAAAAAAAAAAACATAACCAATTTCAAGGTAATATTGAGTAAATACCAAATTTATTTTAATCGATTGGTCAAGACCAAGGGAACTGGTTTCTAATGGTAAATTAAAAAAAAAAAATGTTTTTCATAAGTATGCAACCTCAAAAATTGTAAAATTTAAAAATATATATTTTTAATGAAACATACATTTATATTGCTAGAACACCATTAGTTTTAAAACACAATTAAGTCATTATTAAAGACACGTCTCACTAAAACTAATAACTGACTCACTAAACCTTTAAAACATAGCAAATTTTATCTTTAAAATATACATATCCTCCAAATTTTGCTTGTTTTAATGTTCAAGTTAATATTTTTTCTAAATTTTTTTTTAATAATTTGGATACGTTGAATGCCCTAGGGTCTAATGCAGCTTAGTAAGTGACCAGGGTTAAGTGCGGTACTACCAGTGATGTGGCGGGGATCGAACTCAGAACTTCTCGCTTATGAGGCCAGCGCTCTACCACTACACCACCACCGCATTATGTAAGACACTCTCTTCAAGTTTTCTTACTTCTGCCCTTACGATTTTCTCCTGAAGCTGCTACCTTTCTACATGCTGATACATGAATCATTTGAATCTTTTCTAACAAATGTTGTTCGATACAACATTTTTTTCTAATCTGTCTAAGGTTATGCCTTTTTTTCTTGTCTTGCTAGAGTCACACATCTATCTGATTATCTTTTCTTTTGGCAAATACTACACCATATAAATACTAAAGTTTATAAATTTTGTATAAATTTTACACCATATAAATACTAAAGTTTATAAAGGATATTGTATGCCAGCATCTAAATAAATAACAAACATGTTTATATCCATAATATGTATGCATAAAGCGCATCTTGAAAGCTTTTATTCCTTCTGAAATAAAAGTTAGAAAGCTTTTATTTCTTCTCTTCACTTTTAAGTCATGCCTTATTCTACTCCACATATTTCATCATCTTGAGCAGTTGCTTTATTAAACATTAATCATTTTTTCATCTTTTTTACAAGAACATCTCTGCAGCCGTTTTTCAAAAATGCCTTAAGATGCTTAATACATATTTTAAGAAAAATGTTCCTCATCTTATTATTCTGGAAAATTATGATTGACCTTATTTCATCAAACCATTCAAACTATTTACAAATCAAATGTTGGTTACAAGTTTTAGCATGTAGTATCTGTCTAATATCTAAGTATCTATCTAGTATTTAATTATCTATCTAGTATCTAAGTATCTATCTAGTATCTAAGTATCTATCTAGTATCTAAGTAACTATCTAGTATCTAAGTGTTTATCTAGTATCTAAGTATCTATCTAGTATTTAAGTAAATACTTAGTATCTAAGTAACTATCTAGTATCTAAGTATCTATCTAGTATCTAAGTTACTATCTAGTATCTTAGTATCTATCTAGTATCTAAGTATCTATCTAGTATCTAAGTAACTATTTAGTATCTAAGTAACTATCTAGTATCTAAGTAACTATCTAGTATCTAAGTAAATATCTAGTATCTAAGTATCTATCTAGCATCTAAGTATCTATCTAATATATAAGTAACTATCTAGTATCTAAGTATCATTTTAGTATCTAAGTATATATCTAGTATCTAAGTATCTGTTTAGTATCTAAGTATTTATCTAGTATCTAAAAATCTATCTAGTATCTAAGTAAATATTTAGTATCTATCTATTATCTAAGTAAATATTTAGTATCTATCTATTATCTATCTAGTATCAAAGTATCTATCTAGTATCTAAGTAACTATTTAGTATTTAAGTAACTATCTAGTATCTAAGTAACTATCTAGTATCTAAGTAACTATCTAGTATCTAAGTATCTATCTAGTATCTAAGTAACTATCTAGTATCTAAGTATAAGCAACAGCTATTATGGCAAAAATGCTCTCAGAAGTTCATATCGTCTTATCACAGAGCACCACAGAAGACCATTTAACTAGAAAGTTCATACATCTTTACCAATTTTCTTATTGGGCTAGAGCCGGCATTGAATCTAAGACCTCTTGATTCTGAGCCAGAGCTCTAAACATGGCATGGTTGCACAAGTATTGAAATACAAGATTTAGATAACTGTATTCATAAAATAAAATATGTTACTAAGTTTTTTTTTATTAAAGGATATGATTGAATTATAAATATGACCATAAAAAACGTCAAGTTCTCTACTTTAGAAGCAGAATAAGGTCAAATCATTAAATTTTAACCAATTTTAAAAAAACTTTGTGGGGCGCTATCGCTGATTTTCCTGATTTATTTTATTATTATCTGTATTATGTAGATAGGTTAAATTTGAAATTTCAGTCTTCTTAGTGCAACAGTTTAAAAATTATAGCATTATAAACAATACAAAGTGGTCCTCAATTTATGAATTACAAAACTACACTACTTTAATGCAAGTTTTCAGCCATTTTGATATGCTCATAATTTTTTCTAACTCAATTTGTTGATCTAAGATTAATACCATATAACACACAACTATCTAAGACCTAATTATCTAAAAATTCAAGACCCAATTCAAGACCCAACTATCTAAAAAATGCAAACATTTTTAACTTGTTGTGTTCACAGCAAAAATGGCTGCATTTTTAAATAACCCTATTTTTCAATTATCAAGGTTCAAATGCATTATTGGAAATCAGTCTCCATCCAACCTGCCTACTAGCCTTTGTTAGGGGTACAACTAATTAAAAATTATTTCTTAAAGAAAAGAAAGATGTGGTTGGCTGTACCCTCCTTGATCTGGTCTTTATACTTAATAGGGGCACAAATAAAAGAGCAGTAACTATTTAGTCCCTTGGGTTGTTGCTCAAATATGATTCTTTAAACATATTTTAGTTAAGCCTAAAAAGCATTATTTATTTAATTTCTATTTTATTATAGGTGTTTAAATTGCTAATAATTCAGTACTCAATTAGAGCAGTGGATTTAGGCATCATGAGTATGCTACAAATAGATAAAAAAGAAAGTTAAGTTGATAAATGAGATGTTAAATGCATCTGAACAATAACTTACTATAGCTATATTAATAATAACTAAGTAGAACAGCTGAAACAAAAGTTTCATAATGAGATTAATTTCACAATAAGAAAGAGTGAGTGGTCAATTGACATAAGAAATCCAAAAAATTGACTTTCGAAGTTGCAAAGCAAATTGTAAACTTTGATGAAGATGATAGTAATACCAGGTCATTGCCAGGAGCAAGGGATTATATTAGAATAAAGACAGTTAAAGGAAGGTAGCACATTCAGAAGCGACTCATATTCTGTATATCTTTCAGAACTTTACCATAAATTGATAAAAGAATCAAAGTCAAAGGTGGGATTGATATCATTTGCTTTTTTAAGGCAAAATCATTGTGTACTTGCTGGAAAATTTAGCACAAACACATTCTGTGTTTGTATCCACCATCAAAATCCAAATCTTATGGTAAAAGCAGTAACAAATGAGTTAAAGTCAAAAGATCTGATGGTCTTAGCTATATGTTTATTAGGAAATAAAGCATGTATGTTTCATGATGTGAGAAGTGTCTTGTAAAAGAAAGAATTAAAAAAAGATTAAATAACCTGGTAGGCAATTCAGCAAATGAAATAACTTATAAGCAATGGCTGAAAACTGATGCTCCTTAGAAAGAATAGATAAAAATCCTGTTAACTTTCTAGAACAAATAACAAACAACTTAAATGACATCACAAAACAAAAAAGCTTGAAAGCAAATGAATGTATATATATATATTTCACTTATCCTTCAGGATGAAGTTCATTCATCATATTTTTCCAAAAATCATTTCTTCATCCATTTGTTGTATATGTGAGTTCTTTGAATGGAAACCTACCCTCAGAAAACAAATGTTCTTGTGTTATATCTGAAAATCTGATTCACAATACTGAGGCAGTCTTCAGTTATGCTTCAAAAATCATACCAATTCTGAAAGAAGAATATTCACAAGTTTAGAAGATCCATTATTTCACTGAATTTTTGAATAAGCAATTTTAACCAAACCTTATTCAGCCCTTGAAATGATGTTTTTCAAATTTGATAGTAAATTAATATTCATTATATAAATAGGTATCCTTTTTCTTATTGTATTATAGGTTTAATTTTAAAAATCTTTGTCTTCATGAAAAAGACTACAGGCTGAAAGCAGATTGTCATTTTTTTGGTTCTGCACATGGAAAAAGTGAGTGATGGAGTAGGTGGTACAGTGAAAAATATATTTTTCTAACTTTTCATTTCAAAGACTGATTTTAAATCAAATTTTGACACCAAAAGACATATTTTTAGATACTAAACAATTTTAAAAACATCAGGTATATAGTTTTTAATTTTTTGAGTGTATATGCTTATGGGTTATGATTTTTTTTTTTCAAATAATTTATGCTTTGTATCCTATATCATAATGGACTTTTAATTCAAAATAATGAAAATGGCTTATAATATTCTTAGTTATAAAAAGTCAATCCTAATAAAACAAATGTTGAACTTTTTGCTATAAAAGTTTTTTTAAAGAAAAATGTATAGAAAATGGTTCTTTAAAACAAGACCTTAATAAATATGTTTTAAAACAATGTTCTCAGATTTATCTGAATTTTTTTTTAGATTTCTCAATATTGAAACGGAAGCTGTCAATACATATAAAGTACTTGCTAAACTATTTCAAAAGGTTTCTGCTATCAAAGAAACTTGCTCATATTATTTTTTACCTCAGTCATGCTGTTCAAAAGCTTATGTAACATCAATGAGCGGTGCATTTGACATTTTTCGCATGCTGGAAGATACTTGCGTTAATACACAAGTCACTGAATATTAACATCAATATTGTTAATTGGGTGTTAGTGAATTGTTTAGACAAATTTTTTCCTGGAAAGATAACAGATCTTAAAAGTGAGTCTTTGTGTCAGCTGTTTACAAAAAGCTGGCAATTAGTTACATTATCGCCACATTACTTGAGCCTTAGCTCAAAAACACTAGAGGGTTTTACTCCTATCTTATTAAAAAATGATGAAATGAATTATCATATATTAAATGAATTATCATACATTAAATGAATTATCATATATTAATTGTTTTCAATTATCTACTAATTATCAATTACAAAGTAAAAACCAAATCTAATAATAAAAATTGTTTGTTACAAGTTTTGACTCTTTTCTTTATTAATCTTTACTTTTTTATATTATAGAATTCTTTTATTATAGAATATTCTTTTATTGTATAATACCCCTTATATATTATGTCTTTTATTTACATTGGAAGATGTAAATCGTGTTTGACTTTGAGACAAAATACTCCTTAGTTGTGTAAATTATGTTTAAAGTATCAGATTTAAACAATAATGAACGTCTCTAAACAGTTACTGCCCCTTTACTTGTGCTCCTATCTACTATAAAGACCATATCAAGGAGGGGGCAACCAACCATATCTTTCTTTTTATTAGGAAATAGCTTATAATTAGTTGCACCCCTTACATGGGGCAGTAGGCAGGTTGGAGGGGTGCTGATTTCCAATTATGCATTTAACCCTTGATAATTGAAAAATAGGGTTATTAAAAAATGCTGCCATTTTTGTTATGAACACAAGTTTAAAAAGTTTGCATTATTAGATAGTTGGGTGTAATGGTCTTATGTTAAGTTATAATGCTTTAAAGAAGTCTATTTTGACCATTTGTAAATGGAGGGGGGCCAATGTGTCGTGTTTATAAGGCTATAATTTCTGAACCCTTGTACTTGAAAGATTGAAATTTCAAATTTAACCTATCTATATAATGTACATAATATGTAAAAATCAGAAAAATCAGAAATGGTGTCCCACAGGCCATTGGTTGAAGTATAATGATTTGACCCAATATCATTCTGTCATGATTTTAGATGGGAATAGTTATCTGGTAAGATCCTCTAGAGCAGATGAAATTTCTACATATACAGTGTTAAAATGCAGATGATTGGGTATCATTATTTATATTTCTGGATAAAAAGAAGCTATCAGAAAATTTGGAAATTGTGAAAAGATGACATCACAATGTGTTAGATTAGGAGTACTGAATAATAGATGTTAAAATAATGGTGATGTAGATTTATTTCTAATCAGTTCCAACTTCAAAACTTGGCAGCACCCAGCTTTATTTTATTAAATCTGGCTCCATTCAAAATCAAGCCATGGTCCTTTACTATATATAAAGATATTTAGGTATTGGATACTGGCAGTTTAAAAAAATGTTGTTTTTTACACTCTCACTAAAGTATTATGTATCTATGTAGGTGTCAAAATATTGTATTTATTACTTAAACACAATAATTGTGTTTCTGCTACAATATTAATAATAAAATTATAATAATATTATAGTTGTTTATTTCTTAAACAAATTCAGGTTCATTTTCAAATTTAATTTATTTAAAATGTTATAATCAATGTAAGTTCAGTAACTTTGTTGTTGTTAAGTTGGGGGGTCCAGTAGCTACTGTGAATATGTTTTAGTATGCATTTAAACATCTACCACTTAAATTTTAGGTATCCAAAATATTTTTCTTTATAGATCAAAAAACCCCTTCTTTATTTTAGTATCAAAAAAAAATTTTGGATTTTTACTTTTTTAATACTTTTTTACAATTATTGTTTTTAATATTGTTTTAATATTTTGTAGGAACCATTGTATACTTTTTTCCAATAATAAACTATTTGGGTTTACTTGATTTCTTACTTAACAAAATTGCTCGTTTTGTTCATCCAATTTATTTGCATTTGTCAAACAGTCGAACTAAGCGTCGACGAAATCAAGCACAACAAACTCAAAAAAGTAAGTTTTTTTTTTAATATGTAGAATTTTTTTTGGAATAAGAATTTTTTGTCAACAATTTTATTGATATTTATAGATAACATTATTGTTGACTATTTTATTTTTAAAGTTATGTATTAAAATTTATTGAAATTAAAATTAAAATTTATTTATTATCGTATATATATATATATATATATATATATATATATATATATATATATATATATATATATATATATATATATATATATATATATATATATATATATATATATATATACTTTATTTCTCAGTTGAGAAACTGAGAAATAGTTTCAACTTGAAAACTTTATTAAAAAGTTATCAGGGGGATCAAATCAAATCCAGAGTAGTCCTTTCAGGATATTGGGAAAAAATGTTGTTTTCAAGTGGACAACCCATGAAGTCCAAAAAAGATATGGCTAAAAGACATAAGGGGTTTGGAAATTTCCTGCAAGATTTTAACAGCAGTTTGGCGATGACCAAAAGCATCATTAAAAGCTGCTACATGAAAATCTTCAAGGAAATTGAATGTCCATTATGATGGATGAAGAAACCTCACTTTGTCATTCCCAGGCCTGAAATTTTATACAATTCTGGAAGGATCAAAGTCTGACCTTTTGGTAAAACAATATAAAACAAAAAATTTGGAAATCTATACTTTTTGTAAATGCTGGTTCAAAGCTTTTTAAATAATGTGTTAACATTTGTCTTATCTCAGATATTATTTGTCTCTGCATACTGTAAAACTAGTTCCCTTGTTTGTTTTTTAGACAAACCATGGCACATTTTAGATGCAGTTTTAAGATATTATTATTAATTTAAGAAAATAATGAGTCTTCTTGAGGTTTAGAAAAAATGCCCTTGTTACTTTCATTTGCGTGGTGCTCATACTCATCCTCAGTATTCTTAACTTTTTGAAACACTTTTGCTAAATAGGCTATTGATATTCAAATGTAGTCGTTTAGCTTAAAAATATGATTATTTCAAAAAATTTAATTGCACAATATGAAGGACTAATAAGCAGGTTGATATATCAAGAGAACAAATTGTTTGGTTTATATCCTGATGATAAATGATCTCTATGATTACATGTACACCAAACCATTATATACACCAAACAATTCTCTTTTCATAGATCAGTCTGTTTATTTGTCCTTAATATTATGCAATACAAATTTTTGAATGGATCAAATTTTTAACTTTAACATACTTCATTTAACTAGTGCCTAAATTCTATTGATGCATTAAAAGGGTCAATAATCATGCAATGAAAAAGCCAGCTTTTTTATAGTATAGACAATTGCTCTTTCAAAACATTGTATGGTTAAATACATACCTTAACCTAAACATATTTTATCAAAACGTTAATCTTATTTGTGGAAAAGAAGAAATATTTGTGGAAATATAAATAAAATGATACAGCTTATATTTTTTATCAAATAATACGATAGAATTTATTTAACACAAAAAAAACTTACTTTCTATCTTCAAAATTTTTAGTGCACCCTTACAACGCCATTTATTTTAGTAAAACTGTAAGTTTTTTGTGGATTACCGGTATCCCATATTGTCATACAAAAAGTAAAATATTATTATGGTTGGAAATAATCACATCAGCTCCTTTCAAGCCTGGCTCTACAAAATACAGATAGTGATAAAGAAATCTGATAGTGATAAAGAAATCTGATAGTGATAAAGAAATCATAACTATTGAAATTTTAAACAAGAAAAAAGAACTATTTTATTTAGCTGCTGTTATAGATTACTTGATGTTGTGTCTGAAAATCTTACTTTCTTTTTACAGCAAAATATCATTCACAAAGGTAGTAAAGAAAACAAAATTACTTTTATAATTTGAGATTTCAACATGAACTGTTTAATTTGTAGTAAAGAAAAAAAAGTAAAAAGTTTTTATGATGAAATATTTATGGCAGGAGCTCTTCCTTTAATCAATTGTCCTACTAGAATAACCAAAACTTCAATGTCGTTGATTGATAATATTTTTGCAACAGATATTTATAATAAGAAATTACAAAAAGGAATTATAAAAACCGACATATCCAATCATTTACCCATTTTTCTAACAATCCATACTTTATCCTCTAATAACCCCGAAATACAAAATATAATAAAAAAACGTGTCTTCAACGAGAACAATATAAAATCCTTCCAATATCAATTATCACTTTTGTGTTGAAAACATATTAACCTTAATGATGATGCAAATACAATATATAATAAATTTTTTGATACGTTTTTCTCAATATACAATGCAAACTTCCCACTTTGTGAAAAAATAATAAAATAAAAACCTTGAATAGTCCATGGATTACTAAAGGACTTAAAAAATCCTCTAAAATCAAACAGAAACTGTAAAATATTTTAAAACAAAAACAGATAAAAACCAACAAAAATATAAAAATTACCAACATTTATTTGAAAAAAATCGTAAATAACTAAAAAAAATTATTATTCAAATTTAATTAGTAAATTTAAAAACAAATCAAAAAATACTTGGAGAATGTTGAAAGAGATAACAGGAAAACAAAAAACTCCCTTCCTAAAGTAATTAAAATAAATAAAACAAATATATATGAACCAAATGAAATTGCAAACGAGTTAAATAAATATTTCATTGATATAGGAACTAAATTGGCAAATAAGATTCCTATTATGGAAAAAACCTTTAGTGATTTCTTAGAGCCTATAAATAATTTGTTTTTTATAGACAATTTATATTCTGACTTATCTTTTGATGAGTTTGAGAGAGCTTACTTATATAGACAGAACTTACAATCACCTTAATAAACTTCTATATAAAAATCAATTCCGTTTTGAAAAAAACTGTTTAACTGAACAAGCCATTACACAGATCATTCGTCAAATCTCCAATTCATTTGGTAGACAATATGCACTAGGTATTTTCATTGATCAAAAGCATTCAGTTGATCACAAGATTCTGCTTAAAAAACTCAAATTTTACAAAATTAATGGCAAATTAATCAAATGGTATAAAGTTACTTGATAAATAGAAAACAATTTGTTTTCTATGGAGATTATTTTCAGTCACAAAATTTTTAGGCATTTACATTGATGGAAATGTTACATTGAAGTATCATATCAACTTTATTTCTACTAAGTTGGCCACAAAACTGTTGGAATTCTATATAAGGTTAGATACTAGATTTAAGTAAACAAAATTTAATTCAACTCTACTATTCATTTATTCATAGCTATATAAACCCTGCAAATATTGTTTGGGGAAGTACGTATGTAAGTAAGTTATTAGATCTCTACCATTGCCAGAAACACGCAATGCATTTAATATGTTTTGAAAATCATTTTTCTCATTCAAATATTTTTATTTAAAAACGTTAAGCGTTAAATATTTTATGTTTTATGTTTCATTGTAAAAGTAAACAACCATTGTTCATTTTAAAAGATCTTTCTACCCATAAAGCTATAAACAAATAAACTTTACGAAATAATTTATTAATTGAACCCTTTTGTCCAAAGTTTAATCAATTTTGCATAAACTATCAAGTACCACATTAATGGAACAAAATTATTGTTCCTAATTTTGATTTGTCAATTTCATTTTCTGTTTTTAAAACTAAATTAAAAAACTATATTTTTTCTTCTGGCAATATATATAAATAAATTTAAAAATTAAAATTATTTTCACTCTGGACAATTTAGAATTATTTTCAGTTGTTATTTATACTACACATTGTTAATAGTAATTAAATCAATTGTATTTTTATTTTATTATATATACACGTTTGATATATTTTATATGGCTCTGGCGACAAGATCTTTTGGATCTTCTTTCAGATACCAAATATATATATTGTTATATTACGATTAACAATTGTCGACTTGTTATATATATTGTTATATTACGATTAATAATTGTCGAAAAAAAAAAGCAAAAAAACATAACACTCATTTTTAACAGACTTCCTGAATAGGGGTGCCTGAAAAAAACGTCTGTCTTATGTAAAGTTTGTTTTATTTGATTTGTCATTAAAACAATCGCTCATAATGCTTAGTGAAAAATTTTTATAAAATCAGGGTCTTAATTGCAAGTTTGGGGAGGTTCCAACCCTTTCAAATATATATATATATATATATATATATATATATATATATATATATATATATAATATATATATATATATATATATATATATATATATATATATATATATATATATATATATATATATATATATATATATATATATATATATATATATATATTTATATATATGTATATATATATATATATTTATATTTATATATATATATATGTCTTCGCAATTGGGATCTTGTGCTAAAACCAAAGGTTTTTTTGGAGTCTAAGGGAGATTATAGGAAGGAGGGGTCTGCAAAAAGTGTTAAAAAAGTAATTTGGGGGGGGGGAGGGAAGGGAGTTATGATCAATTTTAAATGACACATGCTTTAGTTAAAAAAATATTTCTTAATTTTAACTATTTTTTCTAAAATAAAATTTTTTCAATTAATAATAAATGGGAAGGGGGTATTTCAAAAGAGTTTTAGGGGGCATGGTAACATGGGGAAAAGCCAACTTCTAAACTTTTAGCATATATACTCTATGGACAACCCCTAACTCATTCCTCATTTTTGACAGAACATTCTCTAAGTACAAACTTAAAATCAGTGAAAGTATTTATATTGAACTTGAAAAATCTCAACATACAAGTTGAAAAATCTTCATTCAACATAGAAGTAAAAAAATTATTATAATTGCTGCTTACTTGTGTATAAATATCTTTTCTCTCTCTTTTTTTATACCCTTAATTTATATTAAGTTTCACACCTCTTTGTTTTTATGTTTTTTATAACATTGTAGTTATTTATTCTATTCTATGTAACTATAGTAACATTTCTATAGTAATTAAAATTTAATGTAACTAAATAATATTTTATGTAGACAATAAATTGTCAATTGTGATTGACAATATATTGTTAATAAAATTTAAAAAGATTTTTTTTTTTCAAAACTATATATATTGTGCAATATTGTTTTACTCCCAATATTAGCTTGTAATATTTTTATCATTAACAAATGAACTTTCCAATCTTAATGACACACCCACCAACAAGTAAATCGAAGTTATTAAAGGTTATGTAAAAGTATTATTAAAATTGTATAGATTTTTTTATTTCTGACATTTTATTATAAAATGTTTTGTATTTCTGACATTTAAGTTGTTTTATTTTTCTGTGTTTGTAGCTTACAGCTCTTTGATAAAACAAAGTAATAATGATGATACTATTATACATGGAAATCAGTTGTCTGAAGAAGTTGTTGATAAAGAAAGTGATCACAGTTTGTCAAGAAACTCATCTCTAGATGAATTTGATTTACAAAATCAGTTGCATCATCTAGATGAAGGTAAATGTTCAATTTCATTATGCATTTCTATTAAGTAAAAAATTAAAACACAAAAAAAAAAAAAAAATTGTTTATTTTGCATTTATATACTTTAATAACAAGTAAATAGGTTTTTTTTTAATATTTTATTTCTAGAGTTCAGACTGTTGTAATTGTAATGAAAACAATAACAGAAACAATAACTATTGTTATAGCATTAATTTTTTTAAAAACAATAATGATGCCTGTGATTTTCAATTTTTGTAATACTGTAATACAATAACAATAAATATTGTATTACAATTCATCTTCATAATACAATAACAATGTCTGAAAATAAAAGTATTGTAATAACCCACTACAATAACAATAAATATTGTATTGTAATTCATCTTTATAATACAATAACAATTTATTGTAATTGTAATGAAAAAAATTATTGTAATGTCAAAACTTAGTAATGTGACCAGAAATAAAATCAATAATCATATATTATTTGTGCCCTATTTCAATAGGGTACAACTATTTATGATTATTGATTCTATTTCTATTTTATTTTTTGAATATCACTTATCCAAGTTGCAAACTTTATATAGCTCTATTAAAGTGAGTTTTATTTGACCTGTTTTTTTAATGCTGTTGATAGATATGTATACATAATCAATTACTATCATTTCTTCCACATAGTTTTTTGCTTTTACAACAGACATCAATTGTTTCAATAATACTTACTCTTGTCTGATAGGTGATGAGTAATCTGAAAATGTAGAAAAAATTGTTGCAAAATAAAAATTCTAATGTTTAGACATTATATAGTATATAATTACCCAGGTCAATGGTTCTTTGATTCCATAATGCTGTAATTTATTACTCATTAGCGGTTATTTATAACAATAAAAATAAACTATTTTCATGCGCTTTATGTAGTTAATCAATTAGTTTAGACGTCATTATCCAATGAAACATTTCAATATCAGTTTAGACAAAAAAAATTTAAAAAATCAAAAGTTTTAATTCACATAGTAAATAATTATCTAATTACAAACATATAATAAATTATATATTTGTATGACTTGAGTATTATTAATGAGTATTATTTTGATTATATTATTTTAATATTTAATGAGTATTATTTTAATATTTAATTATAATTGAGTATTATTAATGTTAATTCTAAATAAATTATTCTTTAAACAATTATATTATTGAACTCAAAATAAATTAAAAAAATTATATGTAAGTTATTGTTAAAAACGGGTGCCACAAGCACCCCTGAATCTAATATTTATTAAGTATACATAGAGTATATACTTCTTTGGCTTTCCTGGCTTCACTTCACTTTTCAAAATAAAAAAAATTATATATGTAAATGACTTCTAAAAATGATCTTCACGTTCCCTCTGAATTTTCTAGTTCCCAAATAATAATAAATGTGTGTGAAAATGAATCTAAATACTTTAAAATGCAATAGCTATTGGACTTTAAAATAGTAATACAATACACCACAATATTTATTGAAACTATTTTTCATTAAAACAATACAAAAGGTAATGTAATTGTTTTACATCACAGCAATACAATACAAAAGTTTTTCAATACAATACAAAAGGATTTCAAGGTATTGTTAGAACAAAAACAGTAAAATAGTTATTTTAACTGTTTTTCATCACAGCAATGCAATAAAAATAAATAATGTTTTAATTATATCTCTTGTATTACAATACAATATTATTGTATTGTAATGTGCTATTGTATTTAATTTTCACAATTACAACAGTCTAAACCCTAGTTTTAAGAAAACATTTTTTTTTTCTTTTTTGAATGTTCAACAGTGACATAATATATATATTTATATATATATATATATATATATATATATATATATATATATATATATATATATATATATATATATATATATATATATATATATATATATATATATATATATATATATATATATGTATGTATGTATGTATGTATGTATGTGTATATATATATATATATATATATATTTATATTTATATTTATATATATATATATATATATATATATATATATATATATATATATATATATATATATATATATATATATATATATATATATATATATATATATATATATATATATATATGTATGTATGTATGTATGTGTATATATATATATATATATATATATATATATATATATATATATATATATATATATATATATATATATATATATATATATATATATATATATATGTATGTATGTATGTATGTGTATATATATATATATATATATATATATATATATATATATATATATATATATATGTATATATATATATATTTATATTTATATATATATATATATATATATATATATATATATATATATATATATATATATATATATATATATATATATATATATATACAGGGCTGTACCGTGAAAATTTTTAGGCCGTGTCGTTTTTGAAAAAAAAGGTCAGTTTTAAAACCCCAAACAAATATCTTACTAAATTTACTAAATTTACAAATATCTTACTAAAATTTTCGCAAAACATAGCTATATTTGTGTAAACAATGTTTACATAAACGAATTTATTATTCTCCAAATATTTTTCCTATTTTTATACTGCATTGGTGTATAGGCAAGCTCCTTTTTAGAAAATGGATATCGGTACAAAAATTAATAATACTTTAATAAATTGTTTAAATTTTTATTCAAAACTAAACTTTTTTCCAACAATTTTCTAGGATGTAAAGTAAAAAATAATTTTGAGACTTGTTTATAATCAATAATTTCATTGTAGTGGATATTAATAGCTAATGAACCAAGTCATCTGCAGTCATACTGGCCTCAACCATATTTTTAATCTTCGCATTGCTGAAAAGCTGCGTTCACATTCTGCGGATGTTACTAGTAGTGTACATCTGATTGTTAGAAGGTCAAAAAGATTAGGATATTGATTTTCATCGCAGATTTTAATGACTTTAGCTAGAGTATTAGGCTTATCCTGAAGATAAGTTTTATAACAGACCATTTTGATTTCCAAAACATGAATTCTTAATCTACAGCTTCTGAGTTTGGAAGATCACTTTTGTACATTTCAACTAACTCCTGGAAAGCAGTTATCTCCTCACTGCAAATGATTGAGGGAACCAAGCATAAAACTTTAGCCTCAATGCAATTTTTCTTTTGGAATCGTGTTTTGATTTCTGAAATGATAGTGTTGAGAAAAAGTATAATCAAAGCCTGTTTATAATATTCATGGGGACTCTCTGCAGGTACGTTTTTTCTGTAGACCTGTCTTATTTTGATTCTGGGAATCATTGGTTCTACAAATAATTTACTTGCCATATGAGTAGCTTGTTGGTAAATTACGTAAGTTTCTTTTTCAATATTTTTTCGTAGATGGTTCAAATCGTTGATTGTTTCTTGAATGTTACTGTATGCATACACAATATCAGTTGTGCGCCCTTGTAACCTCTCTGTTATATATGACAAGGGGTGAAGTAAGCGGTACAAAGTTATAATACTAATTATTAAAATGTTTTTTCTTTCAGTTGATTTACAACGGATCTCTGCAACATGCTCTAGCAAGCGCTCTCTTTTTGGAGAGGTATTGAAATAAATGGATATATTTCTGTATACCTCTAAAATATTATCAATGATTGGTATTTTTGATGTTGCAGCAATTGATAAATTCAAATTATGTGAGCTACAATGAGTTACAATTACTTTTGGTGATCCTTTTAAAATATAGCTAGCAACACCTTTTTTTACAGATTATATATTTGGTGCGCCATCTTAACACTTGTCTCTACAATAACTAAGATTAATTCTACTTTCGCTATAAAATTTCATCAAGCTTTCCCCAATATGTTTGCCTGTTATCTTGTCAAGATTCAGAAAGTCAAGAAGTACTTCTCTAATTTATTTTTTTCCGTTTACGTATCTCATACATACTAATAGAATTTGTTGGTTTGCAGTTGTTACCTCATCTGCTGAAATTGAATGATAATTTGCAGTTTTGATTTTATTAATTAGCCGCTTTAATATTCATTTCTTTCCAATTATATCAATTCATTCATTTTGACTCTTGGGGCCAAGGTAGCTGTTTCTTGCACAATTGCAAGAAAGTTTCCAGGATTACCTTTTTAGTCTGAGTTTTCCATACACTTTTCATAGATTCCACGAAATGCAAGTCTTTGTTTCCCCATCAAATGCACTATTCTACCTAATGTTTTAACAATGTACGGGTACATTTGTTGTTGGTTTTTTAAAGTGCTATTGCTTTGTATTGGAATAGTTTGTTTTGGTCTTGGTTAAAGGCTTCTTTATGGTATCTATTGCCTATATGTAGTTTTTGTTTCTCTAAAACATTGTGCTATTCCTTATATCCACAGTTATCTAAAGCTCTCAAAGAGTTTTTTTTATCCTGCTTTAGAAATAAATTGCAGTATATGCAGTTGACTGTGTCTTCACTTTTGTTGTAGACAAATCCATTTTGTAAATATTCTTCTTTATAAGCACGTTTGCAACCATGTTTTAATGTTTTGGGAAATTGAAAATATATCTTCTGTTTTAAGTTATTTATAAACATTTTGTATATTTCATGTGGTGATAATTCTTGATTTCTGCGCAAGAGTTCATCAATACCATATCGTTTTTCTTCTTTAAAATCACATTCTTTTAAATTTGTTTGGTCTACATCGCATGACAAGCTTTTGTTAACATTATTATCATCTTTAATGACTTCCTCTTTTTTTTCAACTTTAGGAAATGTTTTATCGGTTACATTTTGAGAACTGTCGATAATAAAATACACTTGAAACGTAAGTAATTAAAAATAAACCTTCAGATCTTATACTATACCAAAATTTAAAAAAACTCGTGTAAGCATTATAATAAAAAACAAGTAATAACAAAACTACTATCATAAAAAAGTTTAACGTATAGATAATTTTTATATCTATATCTAGTTAATATCTATATCTAGTTAATATCAAACTAATCAAACTAATTGTTATAAAAAGAAGTCTCTGGAGAGACTATTTTTCATTTTTCGCTTACAATAGATTTCTCAATGAAATAACTTGTAATGACGAATACGTTTGTGAAACAATAAAGTTAAATTTGTTTCATGTGAATGATTCATAAAAATCAACTAAAAATTTTGATTAAATATTTTGACATCAAAAAGAGTCTAGAAATAAATTTTGGCGTCAAATTAAAAAAGGCACTTTGCATAAAAAGGTTGATCGCACCCAGCGACCCCCCCCCCCCTCATGATACGGGCCTGATATATATATATGTATGTATGTACATATATATATATATATGTATGTACATACATATATATGTAAAAAAATATATATGTATATATATATCTATATCTATATATATATATATCTATATATATATATATATATATATATATATATATATATATATATATATATATATATATATATATATATATATATATATATATATATATATATATATATATATATATATATATATATGTATATATGTATGTATGTATGTATGTATATATACATGTTTACTTGTATTTATCTCCACAATGTCTTTTCTTGAGAGGCTTTGGTGAGCTGAATAGCGGTCTCTTTGTAAATTATTGAAAAGTATGAACTATGTACAAATTTTGCATGAACTATGTACAAAATTAAAATGCCTGATGCCTTAAATTGAGTTTGTTTTGAAATTCCAAAAATGTTTAATTTTTGGAATTTCAAAAATTTTTGACAAATAACAAAGAGACAGTACATAAATTTGTTAAGGAAAGATTTTGACTCTACAACTGCATGTCTATTTGCATGTAATGTAATTATGTAGATAATATTCCTAGCAATATAGTATGTGCATGATATTTTCATATAGTTTTAAAATACACTATAGTTATATATAGTTTTAAAATACACTAATAACTACCTCAAACATTTTATAAATAATATTGAGGTTGCCACTTGGATTGTTAGGTTTTTAAGATTGTTATAGTCAGATAAGTATTATTTAAAATTACTTTAAATTATGTTTTGAAAAAATCTATTCTTTTCTAACATTTAATTTCTAACTTTAATTCGGTAATTTATGTAAAGAAACAAACTTTTTTTTTTAATTTCAACTTTATCTTTGTTTATTTTATTATTTATATATATATTTTTTTTTTTTTTAGCTGAGCATTCTTCAGATTTTGATGAAAATGAATTTCTACCAACAATACCAAATAGTTTGCAGCAAGATTTTCCATCAATATCACAGTATGATAGTATGATAGAACCTCGTGATGATGAGTTTTTACATGGGCTAAATTTCTATAACGCTTCATTGTCTTCTCACCAAGATATGGTAGATGACTATTTTAATTCTACAGATAACGAGGTTGATGATTTGCCCGATGAAGATTTTGAAACAACAAAAAAAGACGACGATTTTGAGTTTTTAGATCATGCAGAATTAAATCATATAACTGATGATGAAATTAGTAAACAGAACAGCAACTTGTCAAATACAAAAATAGTACAGGGAATATCAAGTATACTTGGTTACTAATCTCCAAAAATATTAAAGTATCACTTGGTTGCTAATCTCCACAAATATTAAAGTATCACTTGGTTGCTAATCTCCACAAATATTAAAGTATCACTTGGTTGCTAATCTCCACAAATATTAAAGTATCACTTGGTTGCTAATCTCCACAAATATTAAAGTATCACTTGGTTGCTAATCTCCACAAATATTAAAGTATCACTTGGTTACTAAGCTTCTTGAAGATTTATCAAGTGATTAGTAAGCTACATACAATGTCATCATGCTTAAGTACTAAATATTGAACAAAGAATTTTTTTACTTTTATTTTAAAATTAAGTTCAAACCATTTGATCGAAATCACTGCTACAAACTTAATTTATTTATTTTGTTATTCTTAGTTATTAGAGCACCAATAAACTTTATATTACAACATGATTACAACTTTATTATAATATAGTTATTAAAATGTTTTATTGGTAACTTATTTATTAAATTTTTAATTTTTATCTTGTAAATGTTATATCATTATTTAAAATAATCAGATCTAAAATTTGTGACCATTAGAGGCGTTGCTGTTTTTTTAACACATAAAAAAATGTTTATAATTATCTGAAAAATCTTAAACTTATGGTGTATTATTGTTGTATTTTATATTAAATTTGAAGAGCTTGTAAAACACAGCTGTTGTGTTTGTTTTTTTATCCTAAACTAATGTTATTAATTCAATTTTATAGTTAAATTTTATAAGCTATGTTTTAAATATAAGTTCTTTAAAACAAAAAATGTTAAACAATATGAAATATTGTAAGGTGAGTACAAAAATATAATTTATTGCGAGTGTTACACAAATATACAACTCAATAATTTTCTTAATAAATTGATAATGGTAGTAGTCTTTATTACAGGTTTGTAAATAAAATTTTACTAAAAATGTTTATTGAATAAAGTTTTTATGGAAAATCATTATTATTATTTGCTTTATTGAATTTTAATTTATTGAAATATCAATTTATTGAATTATCTTAAATAAATAAGCCTAAGTATTTAATATGAATTTTATAAAGAAAACCAGATATCTTGCTTAATATGTATGTAGCAAAAGTTGTTGTAGCAGTATTTTTTAGTAATTCTCAGTACTGTTACTACTTCCAGTTCCAATGTTTATATATTATTAGTAGTTGTAGTAGTATTTGTATTAATTTTCAGTACTATTACTACTTCCAGTTCCAATATGTATATAGTAAAGTTGTTGTGGTAGTATTTGAATTAATTTTCAGTACTGTTACTACTTCTTATATACATGTTTTATTTATAATTATTCCTGTATTATTTGTTGAAAAAATAATTTTAATTGATATTCTAACATTCCCTGAAAAAAGATTGTATTATAAAAGTAATATATACAATATTTTTCGATTATTTTTTTTTTTTTTTTTTTTTTTTTTTTTTCAATTATTCAATATTTTTAGTATTACATGTTGCTATATAAAACAAAAATATATTTTAATAATTATTATTTTTTAATATAAACATAATATATCTTGTTATATTATACTATAACAATATATATATATATATATATATATATATATATATATATATATATATATATATATATATATATATATATATATATATATATATATATATATATATATATTGTATTATAATATTATTTATATCATAAATATGAATAAATAGTATATAATTAGACATTGTGTCAAATCAGAAATTAAGGACAACATATTTGTAATATTAAAAAATGTAATTTCTGTAGAAAATAGTCTATTTTTGATGGTTTATATTTTCTAGTAATAAAAGTATTATTTTGTGCCTCTAATCCTGTCTTTCTTTTTGAATTAATTTCTAATTTCTTTGTTTTTCACAAATTTGTGAAAGCAGAATTTTTCAAAAATGTTTTCAATTTTTCATATTTAATTTTTTAAAAATTGGTCGAATTATATTTGAATTTTTTTCAGGTAATTTTTTTATTTTTATGTAGCAGATTTATAACAATGATTAAATAAGTATTTAGGCTTTTTAAAATAAAATGAAGTTCAAGTTGTTTAGTGAAATGTACTGCAACTTACCATGTAATAAGGTTGTTAAAATTAATCTAATGGTAATGTTCTACTTATTATTTGTGGTATTTAAACTATTAATATTTATTATCTAGTATCAAGCAAAAATGCGTTTGTAAAAGTTAAAATGGCTGCTGATTTTGTATTCAAGATTATTATAATTGGAGACTCAGGCGTTGGAAAATCATGTCTGCTCCGACGATTTGCAGACCAATCATATACAGATAATTATATAAATACAATTGGGGTAGATTTTAAAGTACGCACATTTGAAATTTATGGTAAAACAGTCAAGTTAAATATCTGGGACAGTGCAGGGCAAGAACGTTTTCGAACTATTGTAAATACATACTATCGTGGTGCACATGGTATATGTCTTGTGTATGATATAACTAATATGGAATCTTTTACAAATTTAAATGATTGGTTAAAAGATGTTAGTGAACTTGCAGAAAAAAATGCAAAAAAGCTTATTATAGGCACAAAGTTGGATTTGGAATCACAACGCTGTGTAAAGACAGATTATGTCCAGGCTTACAGTGATCAATTCGACATTCCTTTCATTGAAACCAGTTCAAAAGAAGGAAGAAATGTTGACGATGCATTTCGTCAAATGACAAAACTGTTGTTATCAGATATTGATCAGGAATTAGTTTCAAATGCAGAAAATGCATCGATAAAACTTCCTCCTAGCAAAAATGTGGTTTCGAGTGGAAATAAAAGCGAAAAGAACTGCTGCTAATAAAAATAATGTTTAAACTTTATATTTTTTTATTATTTCTTTATTATATTTTTTTATTATTTCTTTATTTTATTTTAGTAGTTTTATTTCTCAGAGCTATTTTTCTAACTTTTTTTTTTTCATAAATTTTAATTTATGAAAAAATAAACATAATTTTTAATTGCTATCAATTTTTACTATTCAAATTACTCCTGATTTTTATTAGTTGCTGATTTCCGAACTTGTTACAAATTAATTGAAAAGTTATAATTTCAAAATATTATATATACCTAGAACTTTATATTTTGTATTTTTCTTTATTTTCAAAAAAAGAAATATTTCATTTCATAGAGAGAAGTTATAAAACAATACTTTGTCTTTGCATTTTTTGTGTGTGTCTGTTTGTTTGTGTAAAAATCTCAATTCACTCAAGTTTACTTTCAATTGTACTGATTATCGAATATTAAATGTTGGTTTTAATATTTTAAAATGTTTTAAATTTTCTATTTGTTTCAATGTTCTATGGTTTTTATAGTAATTTATAGTTAATCTTTTTTGACAACATTTCTTATTATAATTGTATTTTTTTAAATGCTTAACTGCTATAAAAAAAAAAGTTATTTTGATGTTTATATTTGAAATCAGTTTTTAAGATTAAATACAAATTTTAAAACTTTTAGTCCTCTATTGATATGAATAAGAAAACAATCAAAATTACCTCAGTAAATAGAGAAAATTCAAAATGATTGTTCTTTCATTTTCTTGACAAGTTATTTAATATACTAAATATATTTTCTTTGCACAAATTTTAGACATTTTAATAAAATTAAATCAGATGTGTCAGTAGGAGAAATGGCATCTTACAATAATGGCTCAGAAGTTGCACTAAAAATTGGTATAATGCTTATATATGCTTAATATGATATAAAGTTTTAGTTTTCATGCATGCATACATAATTTACAGACTTTTAGGGTAAAGTAAAAAAATTAAAATCTTATTATAGCTTTAGTTAAAGATAAATGTTACATGTTTTATTATTAAATTTATTTATTATGCAGTTTTGGTTTAGGTTGTTTAAGTCAGATTTACTTATCAACAAAATCTTTTTTTTTTTTTTTAGATGCTAACGTATTTGACTGGTTATTTTTTTAGATGCAAACATTTTTTACTGATTATTTATTTAGATGCTAAGATTTTTGACTGATTATTTTAAATATATTAATTGCTAACATTTTTGACTGGTTGTTTTTTTAAATGCTAACATTTTAGACTGGTTATTTTTTTAGATGCTAACATTTTTGACTGGTTATTGGTCATAGTGAATGCAAATCTAGTTTTCTGGTAACCAAAAAAAAAATTGTTATTTTACATTACCAAATAATGGGTTATAATATTCCTAAAAAAACGTTTGTTCAAAACTAGTATAATAAGTTTTCTTACAACATAAAAGCCATATAGAAATTTCTAATTTTTAAATACTGTTTATACTTAAAGATTAGGACAGATTGTGGCCAATTTTTATTTAATATTAAATTAAGAATTATTAATAAATAATTTTTTTCATTAATACATTTTAATGGTTCTAATAATTTGATTACTTTAGTATTATATGCAGTAATTACTTTAGTATTATATGCAGTAATATTATTTGAATTCTGAATAAAATTTACATGAAGATGTACCATACTAAAATCAATTTTTGTTTTTTAAACTTAATGTTATATTTCTATTAAGAATGTTTTTCAAGTCTTTCGAATGAAGAAATATATTTAAGAGATAACTTATTATTGCTATTTTTAATATCAAACTATAATGACATGTTGTGAAAAATGGTTATATAAAAACCATTTGTAGTAGCAAATTTTTTTTTTTTTGTAAATTTGTCATAATTGTTTTTTAAAATGTTGCTTATTTTTGAGTTTTGACAGTTTACTGGCAGTTGATTCTGTAATTTGACTATCCTGTTTATGAAAAAGTTGTACCTGGCGTCAGACTTGTTTTGTTCTCCGGTTAGAAAGTTTCATTGTCTTGTGCTGTGGTTGTATTTTTTTTGGATAGAACTTGTATAAGAAGTTTCTTTTATTTTTTTTAATTTTGAATCGTTGTATTTAGTCACCTAATATTTGTCTTTTTTCCAGTGTTGTCAGACCTTGGCACCAGATCCTTTCCTTATGTGTTTTACCCGTAACCTCAATCTGCCACAATCTCTTTGATGTTTTTATTCTATTTTAATTCCTTATGGAAGCACTGTAATTCCAGATGTCTTACAGTTGACATAAAGAGCATCTTAAAAGTGGTAATGTTACTGTATTGGAATGAGTTTTTAAGCTGACCCAATACGTGATTTGATGCTGCAGTTACAGAGTTAATTTGTTGATCCCATCATTTTTCCGTCATCTGAAAAAAGTTTTTGATTATTTTTGATTTTTGATGTAATGTAAAGTAATGACCCAAGAACAGAGCCCTGAGGAACCCTACTAAGCATGTGAAACCAGTCTGATAAAGCGTCTCCTAGTATGACAGTTTTGACTATTTAAGTAGTTTATAATCCAGTTGTTTATTTACTATTCCATATGCTATTAATTTTCTTAAACAAAGTTGTGTGTGAAATGTTCTACTATTTTATCCTTTATAATTCTCTCCATTATTCTACAGACAACTGATGTTATGGAAATGGGCCTATAGTTTGAAACATCCAAATGACTTCCATACTTGTGAATTAGGGTAACTTTAGCTATTCTCCATAATTCCTATATTTTACCACAATTAAACAACAGTTTAAAAAAAGAACAAAATTGAGTTAGATAATGACTCAGAACAGTTAAACAGTACATAAGAATGAACTTCATCATGACCAATTGATTTGTATTTGTTTTTCTCTCTTAGTTCTTTTTAACCAGTTTTGTCATCGCATTTAATGTTGGTTTTTATTGAAAATTCTGGAAGGTTGTTTTTGAACTTCTTTGCGACTCCTGAAACTTTAGACTAAGCATTTCAGCAATTTTATTTTTAATTAAATTGCCTCGTGATCCAAAAGCATTTTAGTACAATTTTTGATGTTTCAATTTTTTTGCTGTAAGAATAATGGTTGCTTTGGGATTATTGTCAAAATTGTCCTAAAGCAACTATTATGGTTGGCTTACTTTTTGTTGTTTTTATTCCATTTCTTTTTATTATTTTTTATTTTTTAATTTTTTGCATTTCGTCCACTTTCATATCTTCTAATTATATGATATACAGTTGTTTTTGAAACATTTTCTTTAAAATGATTAAAAGTAAACAGTTTTCTTTGTGTTATGTTATTTTTGTAGAACTTTTACACACCTTTTCTAACATCTACTTTTTTGAGCTCTTTTTTTATAACTAAAGAAAAAATAATTTTGATTAATACATTTTTCTTTTATAATTACATAATTTATAGTTTACATAAACATAATTCAGATGTTATTATTTTGACATTAGCCATTGTTTTTGTGGAGAATTTTTGAGGGAACAACCGTTATTTATTGCTCATGGGGCATATTTGAAAGTTTTAATTTAAATCTGATTAGGAGTCTACCGCATACTAAAATTTTAGTTTGTTACATTTAATCATATGCATACTCTTGCATGTTTAATAAAAAGGGTGAGAGAGTGGAAATAAAAATGAGAGGGGTTGGAATTTTAGTCCAGATTTAATGAGGGGATAAATGAGAGGAGGGGGGGTTAGAAGGTCCTAATAAAAGGGTGGTTGCGAGTTTTTTACAAAACATGAATTTAATTCTATTGCGGCTTGCGATCAAATTTTTTAAACAGCTTTTTCATCATAATTTCAGTAGGATTTCAATAGCAGGTTTATCAATAGTCCTAGACCAGCACATATAACAATAAAAGTGCTTATTACGTTGAAAGATTTTTTTTCATTTTTTGCTGTGATCTTACTTTTTTCCCTTCGCAGTTCTTTTTTTTTTTTTTTATTTGATGCCAGACTGATTTAATTTTTTTATTTATTTTATGTAACTGATTTGTCGATCCATTTTTAGTATTTTTATGCAATAGCTAAATTTGCACAATGCTCATTTGCTTTTTTATTTTCAATGTTTCGTAGATGTTTTCAGTTAGGGAATTGTGTTTTTAAACTCTATAAAATTAGACAAGGTATCTAATTTGATATCAAACAAAATATAAGATATTTAAATTAAAATATTATTTTAATAGTCTTTAAAATAAAATATTCTTTTAATATTCTTCAATTTAAAATATTATTTTAATATTCTTTAACTCTTTCGGCACAGTATTTGAGGATTTCATTCACTGGTATTCGATGACTTCTTGCCACTATATTTTCATAATAAGCAAAGCTTTTGAAGTGATTTTTTTTTTGCAAATTGTTATGTAATGATTAACCAATCAAACAGTTAGTTATCCAAAAATTCTATACGTTGTAAATACATAATTTAAGCTTGAAGTGTGTAAGTTTTTTTAAAATGGTTTTGCGAAAAAGATGTAATATTAATTATATGTTAGATAGCAATAATGATGAGAGTGGATTGGATTCTTCTGTTGGTGGAATGAGTAGTGGAGAAGAGGAAGAGTTAAACAAGCTTCTTGTTGGTGGTTGTGAATCACAAACTCAGTAAGTTTTCATAATTTGTTTATTACATATAATATATGTGATTTACGACATATAATAAACCCATATTATTTATAATAAATAAATAATACCCGTCATAATGATTACTCATATAATCTAAGACAATGTGTTGCTTATGTTTTAGGTTATGTACTGTTAATAATTATGTTGATGAAATTGAACAAAGTGTATTATCTTCTGAAAGAAACAGTGACTCTAATTATGAAACTAACACCATACTGACAATAAAATTTTGTCCTGAGTCTTCTGTTCAGATGATCTTAATACATGGCATTGAAAAAAAAACTTTTGTTGGAAAGGAGTTTGAAAAGAAACAGATTTATAGCACTGAACAAGAATCAAAAGCCTGCCATAAACGCCAACAATGCAAAGAATCAGTAATGCCTGAAAACAAAATAAAGAAAACAAAGGCTCAAATAATTACCAATGCTGATAACAAACCAAAAGTTTCATAAGGAAGTACATTATCATATAATAATCCTGATAATTACAAGACAGATGTACCGGATTTCAAACCGTCTTGTGAACCTGGAGCTTATTTAGGTCTTCGCCTAGTACAAAAAAATATGGCAAGAGAAAATTGATTATTTTTCCTTTTTCTTCACAGAAATTATAAATGATGTGTGTAGGCACACTAATACTTATGTGTGGCAGAATATTCATTTTAAGAAAACATATGCTGATAAAAGCATATGTTTTCTTAAAATGGGGCATGGCAAGAGACCAATGTATTTGAAATGAAGAAATTTATAGCCTGCTTAATATATCAAGGGCTAGTTAAAGTTTCGATATTGGAGTACAAAATCTCTCTATCATGGGCAAGAGTCATGATATCTAGAGATCATTTTGTATCCCTATTAGCAATGCTGCATATTGTAGACCCAAACAGTGAAATTGATAAAACTGACAAGCTAAGAAAAGGACAGTTATTGACAAATTCAAAATTAAATGTCGAGAGTTGTCACCTAATCAAAATGTTGACGAACATTGTCACCTAATCAAAATGTAGTTGTTGACGAACGTTTGGTCAAATTAAAACATTGTTTTGGAATTCGTCAATATATCAAAAACAAACCGGTTAAATTTGGAATCAAAATTTGGGTCATTGTAGAATCGAAATCAGGTTATACTTGGGATTTTAACATTTATACAGGGAAAAGTAGTAGTACAAGTGATAAGAGCCATCACGGCCTGGGCTATGATGTTGTTATGGAATTAACTAAGCCCCTGCTCAATCAAGGATATCATGTATATTTTGATAATTTTTATACGTCAGTTTACTTAGTAAAAGCTTTATACAAAGAAAAAACCTTATCTTGTGGTACAGCAACAGAAAAACACAAAGGATTTCCTGAGAGTATGAAAAATGGTAAAATGTGTTCTAGAAATAAGAACAAGAGAGACATGCGTTGGTAACGCAACAATGAAATTTTGTCATTGCAATGGATAGACAACAGGGTTGTAACTCCTATTGATGCTATCTCCTATTGATTGTGCTAATGATTATGTCAAAGTAAAGCGTAAAAAAATGTTGGTGACAAGTGGAATGATATCTTAATCAAAAAACCGTTTGTAGTTCACTGCTACAATTGTTTTATGAATGGTGTTGACCAATCGGATCAAATTTTGGCCAAGTATAATCTATTAAGGAAGTGTGTTAGATGTTGGAAAACACTCTTTTATCATCTCATAGACATTGCAGTTGTAAATAGTTTCATTTTGTTCAAACATGCAGAATCAAAGGAAAGATAGCATGAAAGAAAACTTTTATACCATTTTAGACTTTCGAGAGGAACTCATTCGAGATTTGATTAAGCTTGAAGAATTTGCCAATCCCCCACAACATAAGCCATATTTAACCTATGGAAAATACCATTCTGAGCATCTACCAAAGTTTGGAAGCAAAAGACGAAACTGTAAATTATGCCACACTCAATTAAAATAAAAATAAAATATTTTTTCCTACTGCGATGCACCTCAGTGCAACATCGCCTTACACTGCACTGCAGCAAAAAACTGTTTTGCAATATAGCATAACTCAGATTATCATAAAAATAATTAATTTAAGTATTTATTTTTAAAGTATAATGGAATTCTTAGTGTTTTCTGTATTCTATATCATTGTAGTATTATTTTTTCCCCTTTTTTCTGCTAATAAACCACAAAATAATGAACCATCTGCCACGCCAATGCAAATAATATTTTTAACAAATTTATTTTGGTATTCTGATTGCCCATACATTAGGCTCTATTTCTTTAATATATAGTTTTTTCATAAGACTTGATCATAAACTTCTAGATCAACTTTTGAATAAAAATACTTCTAAAAACCTCTAAAACTTTCTTTTTCTACCATTATTAATTTTAACACTATTATGTAAAAAAAAATTTTGAATAGATTTGTTTATAATTTTATAAGCTTTTTAATGATGTATAACATATACTTTGGGCTTACACTTTTAAAGATATTTATGTTTTTGTAAGACTCCTTGAAAAGTTGCTATTTTTCGGCCGTGCCGAAAGAGTTAAATTAAAATATTATTTTAATATTCATTAAATTAAAATATTATTTTAATATTCATTAAATTAAAATATTATTTTAATATTCTTTAAATTAAAATATTGTTTTAATATTCATTAAATTAAAATATTATTTTAATATTCATTAAATTAAAATATTATTTTAATATTCTTTAAATTAAAGTATTATTTTAATATTCTTTAAATTAAAATATTATTTTATTATTCATTAAATTAAAATATTATTTTAATATTCTTTAAATTAAAATATTATTTTAATATTCTTTAAATTAAAATAATTTTTAAATTTTTTTATAAAAGGATAAATTTTGAAAACTTTTAGTTTTTATAAATGTAAATAAATATTCTTAATTAATATAAAAATACTATGTAATCAATATATTGTTACTAAGTATTTGCTATCATTGTTATAGGATATTCAATATAAAAGCAGTTGTTATAATACATTCTCTTGCAAAAGTTTAGAATCAGTTAAATATTTTTTAAAGAAATCAATAATTTATTGAAAATGATTAAATCTTAGCTTTGTGTATGTCATTTTCAATAAGGGTTTCCAATTGGTTTTAACTAATAACCAAAAAATGCAGTTTTTTGTCAAACCGATTTAAATAAAAAACTGTCGGTTTTCAAAGACATTTCTGGCAGTTTTTTTGTATAAAGTCTTTTAAATGTTTATTTATTATAGAAAGGTATAAATAATCAAGTTTGTAAGTAATTAATTTTTATTTTATTATTTAGATTGTATTTTGCTGGAAAGCTTAACATGTCTTTTCATTTTCAAAATTATATAAGTATCCAAAAAAAAATTTTGAATATTGAATAAAACACAAAAATATATTTGAATATAAAGTATTCAAATACTCAAATAGAAAAGCCTATTTTTTATATTAAAGGTTTTTATTCCTTAAAAAAACATACTGATATTTTTAGTGTATACTTTGGTTAAATAAAATATTAAGGTATAGGTATGTAATAAAAATACATATAAAAAAATATCACAATAATGCTTCTATCAATTATTTAACTTTTTGAAAATATAATTATCTTCCATATAAATCATCCTCAGTTTGGAAATTTGCTACCCGGCATAAAATTCCAAAATCATAAGATGTTGAAGGCATCTGTTGTAGATGTGGTTCTGTTGTGATTTTTCTTATAAAAATGTGATGAAACAAGAAATTATTGAAAAAATTCAAATAGGACATAAGTTCAGTTTAACGCATAATGAATAGGCATCTTTGAGGCACAGAATGTACATTGGTGTCAACCTGCATGAAAGTGAATGTAAGAAAACCTATAAAATTGGACTCATTAGGATATATGGTTTCTGTCTAGTTGAAAGGTTAATACAAATATTAAGGATCATTTAAATTCATTTGGTGTCTGTTTGGAAAGAGATGTAGTAGGTTCTACTCATTATGGTACAGCGATCAACAAGAAGCTTATGCAATTAACTGGCATTGTTGATCAGTTTTGATTTAATCATGCAATTTATCTTGGTGTATGCGACATGTTATTCTAGAAAAATAAAGACACATATATACCAATTCCCAAGGAAATGGACAGTAATTCAGAAGAGGTTGAACATGGATGTTACGATGATATTTTTAGTTTTGAATCATTTAAACAATGAGATTAATGACCCTGAAATTTTGATGAATGCGTAAAAAGTAGTTAAATTCATAAAAATGTCTTAAGTTTGCAATCAAAATTTTCAGAAGTAAATTACTGAGGAATTTAGTTAAAGAAATCGAACTGCATCTAGATGTTCATCATAATTAGAATTCACTTTTTTCAATGACTGCGCTTATGTTAAATGTTTATTCAAGATATTTACTGAATTAAATGTTCTTGATGTAATCAACAAGCTAGATTTTGAGTCATTAACTTCATAACACGCCGCTTTAGAGCCAGCATAAACTACCTGTGGAATTCCTTATCAGAAAAGATGCAACGCTATGGACAGCAGATATAGTTCTTGAATTCATGCTTGCTACTTATCAATTCAAATCGCTTAAGTAAGAGTTATTTTTGTACCAAAATACAGGTAAAAGAACAAAAAGTCTTGAAAAAATTTGCAATGCGATTCTCTCTATAAAACCCACATCAGCAGATGTCGGACGCATTTTTATCTGATGATCACAATTATCTGATGAATCGTTTAAATCTTCAGGTTTTTAAAATTTTATTTAGTAAAAATAAGTCATAAGTTTTATTTCAAAATATAAACATAATGTTAAAATCCTTGCTTGAATAACTTTTTTAATAAACAATGTAAGATAAACTTACAATTACAGTTTTATTATTTACCGAAAACCATATTTTTTTTAATTGAAACAAAAACCGTGTTTTTTTATAAATATGGTTTTTTGGAAACCCTTTTTTCAATAAATTATGTATTTACCTAAAAAGTACAAAACTGATTCTAAACTTTTACAAGAGACTGTATATAGGTTAGTTGATACCAATTAGTTATAAATCAACAAATAATTAAATAAATCTTTTGTTTCATTTGACGTAATTAAAAGCCCTTTTTCAAATATTTAAATCTTTATATATATATTTCTAAAATAATCCAGAAATTTCAGAATCTTAAAATCATGATTTGGGAATCCAGGATTTCAAATCCTAATAAATACATATAGATGTGCGGTTCACTTTTGAGTTTGTTTTTTGGAGTGGTTTTTTTATTTTTTTTTTCTTGTTTTTAACACTAAAATAATTTGAAATTTTTTTTTGTTTATTTATCAAAAGACTTGTTTTCATTCTATTTGATATTTGAAACTCAAGGGAAATTAATGAGAAATTTTTTTAAAAAGTTAAAAAAATGACCTGCTTAAAATACATGGCCTTACATACTGTATTTTTTCCAAAAAAATCAAAAGTGATTGGTTAAAAGATGAAATTTAATCAAAAGTGGTTGGTTAAAAAATGAAATTTAATCAAAAGTGATTGGTTAAAAGATGAAATTTAATCAAAAGTGATTGGTTAAAAGATGAAATTTAGAGCTGAGTAAGAGTAATGTGATAATCTTATTGAAGTTACATCATCCAGATATTCAAAGTTCCTTTATAAATTTCTAATCGCATAAAGTTTATTTGTTTTTTGATACCATACACCTAATAAAAAATATTAGATAATATTTGTTAAATAGAAAAAAATTTGTTACCTGCATTTAATTTTTGTTATTTTTTGACAATATTATTGTTAAGTTTGGTGAAATTTCCTGGAAACTGTTGCACAATGTTTACGAAAAAGATGAAAATTTGTATGCAATTTTAAGAGAAGCTCCTAGAATCTGCAATAAGGTTTCACATTCTTGACCACTTTAAACAGAATGTTCAGATTTCACTTGACATTTTTCATGAAATTACAATACCTGCTATAAAATCTTGCAAATTTTAAAGATACTTTCATTATTTTAATTTGTGTTGTAGTTTTATGTAGTGAGAGAATAATAAAAATAATAAGTTTGGTAAAAGAAAGCAACGATATTATAGAAAATGATATAAAAACTAATGAGAAGAAATGTTCAGGGGAATCTTCCAAGGAAATAGAAGATATTAATTTTGAAAAACTATGCAGTCTGATAAATCTTGTGAAGTTGCAGTGTATTTTGCTGGAGATGTCGCAAAACCGTTGATTAAAATGTTTAGAGAATGTTGCAAAAAAATTGTGTTTGTAGTATTTCTACAATAGATTCACAAAATGCAAATTATTTTAATATTTTTTCAAGAGGTGGCCTGACATTACCATTTGATTATCTTGTCAATCGTGTTTGTGATGCCTATATCAATTTTGTTTTTGATATTATCAATAGTTCAAAATTGCAGTACAGAAAAACAGCTAAACTCTCAATATTGCAATGAAAAGCAGTTAAACTTGTTCTCAATATTGCAATGAAACATAAAGCATCTTTATGTTTTACCCACTGGATTAAGGATGAAGATCTTGTTCATCATTATTTCGAATATACAACTTAAATAATCATCGATAAATTATTACTGAGTTACTTTTAAAAAAAGGGCAAAGTTTTGATAAATTTTTGATACATATTTTTTAATTTGTGTAAAAGTAATTTTTTATTAAGTTTCATTTTACTTGTTTCATATTTTTTCTGTTTTCTAGAATATATTGGTTTAAACCAATTCTAGTATATAAATTATGGAAAGTTTGATCTGCTTCCCTCATTTATGATATAGTTCAAATTCCAATTTGCCATGTGATTACAACTATTTTTTGTTTCGTCTCCCAATTTCCATTTTCTAATCATGATATAGAAATTAAATGAAAATTGAAAGATAACCATTATTCAAATAAAAATATTTATATTAAATATTTCTGTTTTGTCCCTTAAAAATGTGTTTTTGGACAAAAAAAATAAACTAATTTTATTTTCTGATGTTTTATTGTGTTTTAAACAACTCCAATTAAATAAACAAGACATTATTAAAGCTTTCATATATATCCAATTTATATGTTTTTGTGAATTTAAATATAAACGTATGAAAAATATAAACGTAAATATAAATGAATTTCTAATTTTTCGGCGAAAATGCAGAATAAAGGCTTGTAATTTAAGTAGACCATGTTAGAAACATTAAAAAATAAATGAAAGTAAGTAAACAAAAATGCTATAAGTATCCATTAAAGCCCAAAAAATACCTTCACTAAAACCAAAAAATTATATCATGAAACGCGTTTATATGCATCTTTACATACATATGTTCATATATACACTGTGAAAAAATTATTTTATGGATTACTTAGCAAGTAATATTTACTTGTATGAAGTTTATTTTGCTTGTTTCTTAATTGACACAAATAAATATTACATGTAAGTCTTACAATAAGTCATTAGAAGAAATATTACATGTAAGACTTACATTGACTCAGAATAATGAGTCAATATAAATTAAAGACGTTTAATAATATTTAGTTAAGAATGTTGTTTGTTTTTTTCGGTGTGTATATTAATTTCACATACA